AGGTGTGTCTGGGTAGGCAGGGACAGACGGGGGGGTAGACAGAGGGACAAACAGGTGTGTCTGGGTAGGCAGGGACAGACGGGGGGGTAGACAGAGGGACAAACAGGTGTGTCTGGGTAGGCAGGGACAGACGGGGGGGTAGACAGAGGGACAAACAGGTGTGTCTGGGTAGGCAGGGACAGACGGGGGGGTAGACAGAGGGACAAACAGGTGTGTCTGGGTAGGCAGGGACAGACGGGGGGGTAGACAGAGGGACAAACAGGTGTGTCTGGGTAGGCAGGGACAGACGGGGGGGTAGACAGAGGGACAAACAGGTGTGTCTGGGTAGGCAGGGACAGACGGGGGGGTAGACAGAGGGACAAACAGGTGTGTCTGGGTAGGCAGGGACAGACGGGGGGGTAGACAGAGGGACAAACAGGTGTGTCTGGGTAGGCAGGGACAGACGGGGGGGTAGACAGAGGGACAAACAGGTGTGTCTGGGTAGGCAGGGACAGACGGGGGGGTAGACAGAGGGACAAACAGGTGTGTCTGGGTAGGCAGGGACAGACGGGGGGGTAGACAGAGGGACAAACAGGTGTGTCTGGGTAGGCAGGGACAGACGGGGGGGTAGACAGAGGGACAAACAGGTGTGTCTGGGTAGGCAGGGACAGACGGGGGGGTAGACAGAGGGACAAACAGGTGTGTCTGGGTAGGCAGGGACAGACGGGGGGGTAGACAGAGGGACAAACAGGTGTGTCTGGGTAGGCAGGGACAGACGGGGGGGTAGACAGAGGGACAAACAGGTGTGTCTGGGTAGGCAGGGACAGACGGGGGGGTAGACAGAGGGACAAACAGGTGTGTCTGGGTAGGCAGGGACAGACGGGGGGGTAGACAGAGGGACAAACAGGTGTGTCTGGGTAGGCAGGGACAGACGGGGGGGTAGACAGAGGGACAAACAGGTGTGTCTGGGTAGGCAGGGACAGACGGGGGGGTAGACAGAGGGACAAACAGGTGTGTCTGGGTAGGCAGGGACAGACGGGGGGGTAGACAGAGGGACAAACAGGTGTGTCTGGGTAGGCAGGGACAGACGGGGGGGTAGACAGAGGGACAAACAGGTGTGTCTGGGTAGGCAGGGACAGACGGGGGGGTAGACAGAGGGACAAACAGGTGTGTCTGGGTAGGCAGGGACAGACGGGGGGGTAGACAGAGGGACAAACAGGTGTGTCTGGGTAGGCAGGGACAGACGGGGGGGTAGACAGAGGGACAAACAGGTGTGTCTGGGTAGGCAGGGACAGACGGGGGGGTAGACAGAGGGACAAACAGGTGTGTCTGGGTAGGCAGGGACAGACGGGGGGGTAGACAGAGGGACAAACAGGTGTGTCTGGGTAGGCAGGGACAGACGGGGGGGTAGACAGAGGGACAAACAGGTGTGTCTGGGTAGGCAGGGACAGACGGGGGGGTAGACAGAGGGACAAACAGGTGTGTCTGGGTAGGCAGGGACAGAGCTAGCGCATCTCACCTATTACTTTCAGTTCACTTCCGCACGTGCGTGTCTGCCCCAGCTTGTGCACCAGGCTCTTATTCTCACACAGGTAAATCCCGTTGTCTTCTGGCTGGATTCTGCTGAGGATGATGGTCACCAAGGAGTCGTTCCTTTTCTCGTGCACCCGTGGGCCGGTCACGTCCAGCACCTGGGGCGTCTTGTCCTGCCCGCTGATTTTGTACCACTGCACCTCAGTGGAGTTGCGGGAGTGGGGGGGAGCTTGTGCACCAGGCTCTTATTCTCACACAGGTAAATCCCGTTGTCTTCTGGCTGGATTCTGCTGAGGATGATGGTCACCAAGGAGTCGTTCCTTTTCTCGTGCACCCGTGGGCCGGTCACGTCCAGCACCTGGGGCGTCTTGTCCTGCCCGCTGATTTTGTACCACTGCACCTCAGTGGAGTTGCGGGAGTGGGGGGGGAAGAGCAACTGGGGGTTATTTTGTACCACTGCACCTCAGTGGAGTTGCGGGAGTGGCAGATGAAGTGAACCTGGGTGTTCTTCTTGGCGGCGATGTAACGAGGGTGCTGCCGGAAGCTGGAGCAGGACGTATCTGAGGAGGAGACAAGCCAGTGACACCGGCGTGGGTTTGATTAGCTCCTCCTGTGCTGCCCTGTGCTGTCGTGGGATCATGGGAGCGTCTGCGGGCTGCTAATACAGCCCACGCCCTGGCCAAGGGGCTGGCCGACGCACACGGACCGCAGAAAGGCGGGTGAATGTACAGCGCACACGAGGACCAGAATGCTGTTGGGGTACAGACTGTGGCTTTGACTCTGTGTGCACCAAGCACAGGCCCCACTTCTGGGTGTGCATCGGGCACGGGGCATATGCCAAAGCCCCGCAGCACTCCTGAGAGTTCAGGCCTTAAACACAAAGGGTATGTCTACACTACCCCGCTAGTTCGAACTAGCGGGGTAATGTATGCATACCGAACTTGCTAATGAAGCCCGGGATTTGAATTTCCCGGGCTTCATTAGCATAAGC